GGGATCTGTATTCTGGTAGATCTTCTAGCCTGCCCCTTCCATGCTTCTTGCTGCTCGCAGAGCTTCTGAAGAACAGTGTTCTGTACCATGGGGCACATATCCTGAACAATTGTACTTCTCCCTTGCACAGGTAGAACCTCACACAGTTGCCAGAGGATACCATGACTACAGAGGTTAGCCCAAGCTTTGTACCTAAGTGTTTAAGATGTGCCCATTTTAATCTAAAATTTAGATAGCAAAACTTAGCCTCTGTTCAACATGTTAGTTTGCTGGTATGTTGGATTTCATCCTATGCCTGTAACAGAAGGAAAATAGAAGCAGGAGATTAGTGCATTCTGCTGGCTGCCTCTTTTTTAGCAGACAGTTTTGTTGAGCAGCAGGTTAGCTTTCCATTTGAATGACCTAATTCTACATGTATCCATATTGATCTATATGCATCATCCTCTGTTCAGCATTCATTAATACAATTGGATGCAGAAAGCTTTCAGGGAAAATAGATGTGGAGAGAACAATGCGCACTATCTCCTTGGAGTAGGAGTGAAATTAGATTATTGTGCAGCTCTGCTGAAACCTACTCAGTGACATTTTGAAAAGGCTGCTTTCAAAGGTTGTGCCTCTCTCCCCGCTTCATCTGCCAGCACCACAATCCCCACCGTGATGGAGGGTATTTTTCCTCCCTCATACTGTAAAATATCAACACACAATCCCTAACATTATGGAAGGACAAACAAAATCTTTTTCTACTGTTGGTCAAGTCTGCATTTAGTTTTGTCTTTGCTGTAATGCATCTCTCAAGCAGATTCACATTTCCCACTGGAAAGAGGAAGTACATAACATTCCCATTAGTGTGCAAACAGAAATAGCAGTCTAAATGAAAAGGCACATGCTTTCAGTTGGACAGTATTAGCTTTTTCAGTGATATGATGGGAAAGAATACAGTAAAAACTAGACACAATGTTAAGGACTGTGGCACAGTGGGTGAGTCCAGAAGTTTTTCCCTTTGAAGATAGGGATTAATATGGAGACAGCATAAATCTCCTTTTACACCAATATAACTCCAGTTACTCCATTAAATTTACTCCCTCTTCATACCAGTATAGGTGGGAAGAGACTCAGACCTTAGTCAGTTTTGCAAATCTGTGCTGACTAAATGATACAAGTAATGAGGTAGTTTTGTATCAGTGCTAACTTTCTTTTACATCCACATAAAGTTTAAATAGGTTGTGCTTTTTTGTCTCTGGCTTCAGAGGAAAGCTTCCCCAAGCAGCTGTAGACCAGATCTTTCTATGAATGAAAAATTAATAAGACCACTTTGTGCCAGAGGCAGAAACAGCAATATACCTCCAACTGGTATCAGTTTTCCTCCAAATTCTCAAAACAAGACAGGGTCTATAAAGAATGAATGAGCTGGGTTATATAAATGTGTTTTGACTCTCATTTGGAAGCATACTGATATGCATAGAATTTTTCTATCAAAATACAACATTATGTGTTATCTACACACCTAATATACAAGAAAATAATATACAAATATATCTGGAAGGTACATGGTATTGGAAGATCCAGGCTCTTTTTAGCCTGAATCCAATCCTAGCCTTGTTCCCTTCCTACATAGTAACTGAATATTCTACTCCTGCCTTTCACCTGAACAAATATCTGCTTTTCAGGTGAAGCATTAACTGGACAAACCCTGACATATGGTGAGGATTCTAGACACTTTGTAATGCTAGCTTGCTTTGCCAATGGTAAATACAGGTAAACAACCTGGAAAGCATGCCTTTAGGCTGTACCACTCATTATAACAGGAGATCATAACTAAGGTGAAGCAACAGCATAGTTTTCCATAAGAGTAAGCATGTCTGAATAAATCAGACCTGGGGGGAAAACCTGGGGGAAGCAAATATTTTACCCCAGTTTTCAACCCAAGCAATCCACAATCACACACAAACAGATGAAAAACACTAGACAAAGGATTTCTGGGCTTTGTTTCTCAGGATTCAATTTGATATGCACTTCAAGAAGTGGGCATTCAGTCCTGTGATGTATCTTCCTTTCCAACAGCTTAAGAACTGGCTACATGCAGTCAGCACTTACAATCTGCAGTTGTTGTGAAGGATAAGTCATGAAGGTTTTATGTTATTTTAGACATAAACCACTATGAAAAACCTTTATCCAAGGAAGGAAAGAAGAAGTTTTTCTATTGCAAGTTTTGAGGGAAGGTGGGTGAAGGAGGGGTGTAAAATCATACAGATATGATTCTACATTTTGCATAGAGACTTTTCAGGCATACCGACCAAGAAAAGATGTAAGAGCAAAGATAGCAGGAAAGCACTTTGCAGACTTTGGTGAGCAATTTAGCAATGAATCAGGCTCCAAGTCCCACCTGATCTTCATAATGCAATGTAATCCTTAATTATCTATCTTGACACCTAATGAGTACACACACATGTGCACGCTCCCAAGGCATATATCCTTTTGTCTTGCCCCCTTAAACCTCTTATCCAGGCTGTGCCTCACTTATCTCTGGTGCTGGGAATGACTCACATTTGTAGCATCTTTCAGTGCTGCTATATCTCTTCTATGTAATCATAATCATAATCATAACTCTCCCATTGTGATGAAGGTCTGGAAATAGTAAAATTTCCCACCTGTTGACTTCCAGCAAAGTCCACATGTGTTTTTAATCTGTGGCATAACTTGTCAACTTTAAGGAATTACATTTTATGTTAATTTCAACCTGCTGTTGAACTCAATGTCCCATTGTAGATCTAACAGCATTCATGCTCTTATTATTGCTGTTTTTGCTGAGGGCCAATTTCTGGTGCACAGAGTAAGGGCAGGCAGCACCTTTGCATGGAGAATTTAGGTAGGTATTTTGTCTCAGGGCAAATCCTTCCCTGAGTACTGTAGTCAGACCAGACTACACTGTACGTACAGCTAGTGACATGGCCTTGCTTCCTCTGTTCCCCATCATCTTTGGAGGAGCATGCACCCCTCATGGTTTATCCTTGTGGTTTATCCTTCCTTTTCCCAACCATAAGGCTGAAACAGACTCAAAATCTGATGTAGGCTGAGACCTGCCTGCCTGCATTAGGTCTAGCACAATTTGGCCCGGATCTGTGGAATTCTTGGAATCATTAGTAATAACTTACATCTTTACAGGTAAGGATGAACAAACTTGAGAAGCTGTCATATTTTTATGACTTTTAGATTTTGTTACATCTTGGCTCAGGAACTGTAAGGAAATGAGCAATGAAGATACTGTGGTTGCCCCTGAAATCTCTGCGGTTTTACATTTGGAATTAGGCTTCATTTTCATGGTATTTGCAACATTTCCCCTAAAGTGAGTACCTAGGATACTAAGCGTTCCCCTTTTTAGCTCCAAATCCAAATGTCTATTGTTCCTATTTGACACTGTTATACTAGCTGTATTATACTTTTTTTTGTAGAAAATACCAGGTCAACTTTAGCAAATCTAAAGGTGGAGGTGTAAAGCACACTCTTGAGATTCTGTAAGCCTGTTATCCCAGGGGGAATATTAACCTCTCTTCAGCCTAAAATCCTGTCACCATTACCCCTCTTCTCATATTGTACGTAGATGTTTATCATTATGTTGTACATCTAAATAATTTATCATTTAAATGTTTTGGGGCACAGGAGCAGTAGAGACCTAGTTATAAACTTAGTAGAGTCCTTGCTTCATTTTTTCAGTGGTAAGAACACACCAGGTCGAGGTTTTGGGTCAGCATTTTGAAGCACAAAGCAGTGACTCACTGAAGTCAAGAGGAGTTTTATTATTGACTTTGATGGGAATAGAGCTAAGCCAATGTTGAGCCACAGCATCCAGGCAGGGATTGGAAAACAAAGCAACATATTGGGTAAGAGAAGGGGATTGGAGTGGCACTTGGAAAGAG